GTTGAGGTTAAGTCTTTATTTTTAAATTATTCTTTCTCATGGATAATCTGATAAATAAATTAAATAAATATATTTACTCTGTAATATTTTAAAGCAAATAAAAAAGAATAAATTTAATAAATGTCTGAAGAACTGATTTCTGATCAGACACTACATGAATTAGGCTTCTAAATATAAGTAAAACTACTAGATTAGACCCTTATTCTTTTCAAATTAATAATAATCAATAATCTGCAGTTTGACAGTTGCACTTGAATTCTTGAAGTAAAAAAAAACTTTTCATATTAACAAGATTAATAATCCAACACATTCTGATCTTGTTTAGTATATGGGTCTAAAAACAAGATCAAAAATACTTTTTATCTGATATCAGACGGTAAAACCTGGTYAGAGGAACAGTTTTCTGCAGTAAAATGACTCTACTGCTCAGAAACACTCACAGATTAAATAATCTTCACTTTAAACCTGATCAGATTAGTTTCAGAGCACTTGTTACCACAGAAACAGAAGAGCTTCRTCRCTCATGCTACTGATTCAAGGCTTAATTAATTCAGGTTTAAACCAAAATCCTGGGTTAATCCCTTATCCTAGATTGGTGCAGTAGTCCTCTGGTATAGCTACATGTTTGTTTCTTTATAGAAACTCGTTTGATTTCTGACAAGAATAATATTAAAACTTGTTGTTACAAATAATAAAATATTAACACAACCGCTTAAAACTTTTTATTTTTTATTCTGCAAAACGTATTGTTTTCTCTTGCTTTTCCCACCATTATGAGCAGAAAGAAATCTCCGGTTGGCCCACAATGCATTATGGGAAATGGTGGACTGAGAAGGACCTGTTTGTGGGCCACATGGGAGGAGACTTTGGATTGGGACAGCCTCTGAGGTGGTGCTGAGACAGAAGTGGATGATGAATTGGACCTTCAGAGACCTGGCCTCTGCATTTGGACACAGCTGCTAATGGTGCGTTCACACCAAACGCGATTTCAGCGTCAGGAGCAGCAGGTTTACATGCAAAGTCTATGGTGGAGGCGCTTCAAGCAACGTCGGGAAGTTCTGCGGCGCCTCAAGCGCGATTAGAGCAGCGCGATTTGGACGATTTGGACGATCTGAGCGTCGAACNTTGTTTGCTGCCACGTCTGCCTTTTCATTTTGTTAAATAAAGCCTTTTGCAACTCTTTAACCATTCTCATTCAGTCTGGCACCTGAGGTTCAACCAGCCAAGCCCATCGTGACACTCCTCAACAATTTGCAGGACTTTCTGTTATTAATCGTTTCCCATCCTGGGGATCTAAATGACAGTTTGATACTTTCATTTTGGTTTGATACAAATTCCTAWCAAAAAAAGTCACATTTTAAATATTACTTATTTTAAAGCAGGCCTCCCAGAAACTGGAGTCAGGAAAAAATAAACACCTTTCTAAGGTTGCACATCATTCAGTCAGACAGGATTATAATCTGGTAACTTCAGTAGAAAATGAAAATCTGAGGTTTTATTCATTTCACTCGTCTGTTATGAACAGTAAATAGTGTCGTACAAAAAGCTGAACTATCAAAGTTTTCTGGGGTTAAGAAAACAGTACGCTCTGACATGTTCCTCCTGCTCTTTGACTGGGAGATATTTGTGATGCTCGTGTTATATCTCCCATATTTTGTCTTGTGCAGGTCACCACACTGTGTACATCGGTGTGCGTGTGCCCAAGAGCTCCCGACGTCGGCGCCGTCACCGCCGGAGAGCCGGTCACAAGGACAGAAAAGAGAAAATGACAGAAAGCACCTTTGACAAGTCGGACACAGAAACCACGGATGAAGCCAGCAGCAGCAGCATCCTGAAACCACTCAGTAAGTTCTGCTGGACTCCACGTCAGGCTGGATTAGATCTCATGTCTGTCTTTGCTGAAGCAGCTCTACTTCCACAGAAAACGTCCTGTGACCCCAAACAAATCTGCTGAGTCAGTGTCCAGAAATGTGTCTGCATGACCTGCTGAGTGTTTCTGACAGAGCACAGGACTTTAGACTGAAGGAGAGGCAGCTCAGGTGCTGACAGGAGGTTTTCTGCTCTCTCTCATGTCTTCTGCTGATGGCTCTACTCAGTTTGTGTTCATCTGGTCCTTCTTCTCCACTACTGGTTCTTCAGACAAACTCTTCTTTCCTCAGGAACAAAGGGTGGACTCACACCTGACACATGTGGTCGACTTTAAACTGACCACAGTTCATTTCCCTATTGGTCCGAATCTTTTTTACAGCTGTGAATACACTCATGTGAACCCTGGTGCGGACCAAAGAACTGGACCCAGACCCACTTCTGGAGGTGGTCTTGGTCCGCTTCCAATCAAACTCCATTTAAATCTGAGATGAAACAGCAAGAACTCTTGTCATTCTATGGAAAATACAAACCTGGAAACATTTTGTTAGCAGTCGTCACTGTCTGCAGTCGACACTGTCTGCAGTCGACACTGTCTGCAGTCGACACTGTCTGCAGTCGACACTGTCTGCAGT